AACCGTCCCCCGCGGCCCCGGCAGGCGCGTCGGCCCCGGAGCATCCCTCGGCGCGCGCCGCCGCTCCTCTGCGGTCGGGACCCCTCGCCTCGCCCGAGACATGACTCGCGACTTCAAGCCGGGAGACCTGATCTTCGCCAAGATGAAGGGTTACCCTCACTGGCCCGCTCGAGTAAGTGATGGGAGCCCTGGCGAGGCCCGCCTCGCAGCGTCTCTTCTGACGTCGTGCTGTGTCCTTTCTCCCCGGGGTTGTCTTTCGTAGAACGCGTAACCTGACCTTTCATTTTAGTTTTCGTGTACCAGTCGCCCCCGTAATTGTAAAAATGCAGGTTTTTCTACTATCTTTGCATTTCCCGATGGCTTGTTTTTTGACTGTCTTTGACAGGTGTTCTTTATTGGAGATACTCAGACGACGTTCCAGTTAATGTTCCATTGTGGGTGAAATAATCCAGTACCGGTTTTATGTTTAAAAATTAGTGGAACATTGATAATTCAGAGAGAAAAGTATATGTGATTAAGTTAGGTTTATAGGCTTTTTAAAAATATACGTGATGCTCCGTAGATGAGATCTTCCCATTTTTGTCTGTTTAATAAAAGAGATTAAGGACGATACTCTTGAAAATTTCCAGTGAGAGTACCAAGGAAGGTCCAGAAAATTCATTTCCATGGATTCTACTCTTGTCGTTTGCCTTATGGCCGTGAAGAAGTTGATTTACCTTTTTGTTTCCCATAGGCAGAAGGAGGAAGGGACCGGATCCTGGGTTTTACGTTAGTGGTATGGAGAGATCATTAAGAATCCAGGATGTTTCAGGGGCTGGGGATTTAGCTCACCGGCAAAGTGCCTGCCTGGCAAGCGCAAGGTCGTGAGTTCGGTTCCCGGTACCGGAGAAAAACAAAACAAAAAAAACAAACAAAAAAAGAATCCAGGATGTTTTGTGACGTTTAGGATTTAAGACTAAATATTTGCGCTCCATTTTCAGAGAAGAGGTTTTGTTAGTTTACGGGGGACCCAGGTTCTAAGACCCTGATAGGACCTAAATTGAGATCCTTTAGATTAGATAAACCTCAAGATCGTCAAATAACTGTGTGATCTAAAGTTGTAATTATTATTGTTATTATTATTATTATTTTTGGTACCGGGAATTGAACTCAGGACCTTGCGCTTGGCAGGCAGACGCTTGTGCCACTGAGCTATATCCCCGCCCCTAAAGTTGTAATTTTTAAAAGCCTCATTTCGAGTTCACTCTCCTTACAAAAGATATTGCTTAAAAATAATGAAATCCTGTGGTTGTAGTTAACGTCAGCTGCGAAGAAAAGTGGGGAAGTGCTCAGTAGGTGACAGAATCCCGGAGTGAGGAGCCCAGAGTAGGACCGAGCATAGTGAGCACTGTTCTTTGTCTGTTTGTTGTTGTTGTTTTTTTTCCGGTACCGGGAATCAAACTCACGACCTCGCACTTGCCAGGCAGGTGCTGTGCCGCTGAGCTAGATCCCCAGCCCCTGAGCACTGTTCTTGATTTCTCCCATGCAGCGCTTTGTGTACTCCAGTTTTCGTATTTGCTTCCACAGCTTGCTTGTCCCTAGTTTATCGTGTCTGCTTTTTCAGGTCAGTCTGGCTTGAGCACCCTAGTCATAAATAACCCTTTTCTATACATTTGGTATTCTAAGCAGTTTGTTTTTTAGAATAATCTTTTTAACTCTTACTTTGTGTATGTTCTGACTTCCAAATACATTATGAACTTCTTGAAGGCAATGGCCTTAAACTGGGTATGTTTTTTATCTCCATAGTCCTTAGTTACATAATCATGCAGTTATAAAACACCTTTTCATATTTAAAAAAAAATGTGTAGGGACCTGGGCGAATTTAAAGTCTAAGATAGTTTCTCTTGAGATTTTCTTATTTTGAGGTGTCATAAAATCTGAAGTTATTTGATAAACCTATATTCAGATTTCCATGCTCCACTGTAGTTAGGAACCAAGTGGAAATGCTTAGAAAATTTTATACTCCCACACCATCCTCAATCCCTTCAGTATGTTAGGTAACTAAGAATATTATTAAAAGTAAAAATGAAGTAGCCTTATGAGGGCCAGAGTGTTTTCTTTAACAAGTTCTGCTAATGAGTTCATTTGGATTGGAGTAGGAACTTTTTACCAATTTCCTTTCTCCCTCATTTTTAGCAGCTTGATTTGGTTTTAACATTTTGTGTCTAAGAATTACGTGTTCTTTCCGAGTTTTTTGTTTTAAAAATGCTAATTCTTTGCTATAAAGTGTGTAGAGTGTTTTCAAGTCTTAGCTGTGTAGGTGACACCTCTTGTTCCAATTTTGGTTTTAGCATTTTTTGTCTTCGCGTCCCAAATTTGATGATTGATTGATTGATTTCGTTTTTGCGACAGTCTCACTCTGTAGTTCAGGCTGGTCTTGAATTCACTGTGTAGCCCAGGCTGGCCTTAAACGATCCTCCTGGGTGTGCACCACCACACCCATCCCCAAATTTGATTAATTTTTAAGTTGTACATTTTTGTAGTCGTTTACCAGTAATAATCTTTTTCTTTTTTAAATCAGCCTTTTAAAATGTTGCCTAACATTTATTAAACTTTATAGGTGATAAGCACTTGAACAAACTTTTAAAGCTGTTTGGTAGCAGAAGTAAACGTGAACCAAATTGACAGAAAATATCCCTTATTTTAAGGGCTAAGGAGGCTTCTGCAATTCTTGGGGCCTTCCCACAAAGTGGAAATGACAAGTATAACTTTCATTGTACAGGTGGAGAAATTAAGTCCCCTTGACTACTAGGGCATTAGTGAACCCTCCACGTGTCCTACAGATGACCTTCAGGTCTCCTCATGGTCTTTTTTCCATGCCATAATGCTTACAGGCATAGTAGGTCCTCTGTTGGTCAGCTCCATTACAAAGTCAACTAAGGTTTGAATTAAAATGGTTTTTGAGATTATGAAATTGGAAATAGAAATGATAATTCTGGCTAGATACTACTGCTTGACAGCTTGAATGAGAGAGAAGAGAAAGTAACAAGTATCATGGAAGTATTAGATGTAATACGCCTGTAGTTTGGGAGGCTGAGGCAGGAGGATCCCTGAGAGTCAGAGGCCAGCCTGGGCTCCATAGTACCTTTAAGGCCTGTGTGAATGGCCAGTGTGAATGAACTACATGGCAAGACCCTGTCTCTGTGCCCGTCCTCAAGAGAAATGATTGAAAGAGAACTGAAAAAATAGATGACCCCATGTGGTTTAACCATATAGGTAGAGGATGTTTTTATAGTATGTGTTTTAAACTCTGGGAAATACTGCTTTAAATGTTTGGTAATGTCTGCTTTTATATTACTTTATTTGCTTAGCCATTTTGTAGAAATAGCAGTTAGGATTGTGGAACAGATTCAGACTCCTATTGCGAAATGTGTAGGGCAAACACTTAAGAATTGAGAATTTGGGGATTTTTAGGAAGTCGGTTGTGGTGTCTGTGCCATGTATGTTACTGCTGCTAGGGCCTGGGATAACACATAATGTATCGGAACGTTTCCGCAGAGAAGCAACAGTAGAAACGCTAGGTGGATGAAATAACTGAATTAGCTTTAGTGTTAGTCCAGGTTTTGGCATTAAATGAATTTTGGGAAAAAAAATCTTGTTTATGTAGAATTGAGGTTTAAAATTGAGAATACAGGATTATGGGCCTGTAAAATGGGTCTGTTTTACTTGAGATCCCTTTGGATGTCTTGTTCTCAGTTTGCTCATGTGTGTTGAGGTATGTATGGTTTAAAAAATTCTTACTATTTCTGATTTTTTTTAGGTAGATGAAGTTCCTGATGGAGCGGTAAAGCCACCCACAAACAAACTGCCCATCTTCTTTTTTGGAACTCATGAGACGTAAGTCCTGTTGGCTTTAGAGACAAATGAATTAATTTTACAGGGTCATTATGCATAAAATGAAAACTTTAAAATCATCTTTGAACTTTGAAATAGTCTTCAGCTCTTTTTTTGGTAGTGGGGGGAGGAGTCTTATTGTTAAGGCACAGATTAAAGACACTTTAGATTTAATTTTTACTGGCAGAGCTGTTGCCTTGATCATAAAAGTAATTATCCTCTCAGCAATCACAAGTGAGTGCTGGATGCAGTATGAAAGGGAAGTTTAAGAAGGCCTGCAGTGTTCCCGCCTCGTAAACCGACTGGTTTTCATTAGTACCCCTGGGCACCGGTTTCAGGCTGTCAGGCTTTGTGAGGGTAGCCCTGCAGACTCTGGTGGGGAAGATGAGAAGAGGAACCCTGGGCACTTGTCTGTGTCCTTAGAGCCACTGTTCCATTCTGCTGCTCCTGGTGGAGATGTGGGCAGAGAACTGACAGGGTGA